CCCCCCCAGTCCCAATCCTTCCCCCCACCCCGCACAACTGATACGTTTATTGATTTCATACTTATCATTGTAAATACTATCACAAGAAATCTGAAAATGTCAATACATCTTTGATATGATTCTAATTCATTTAGTTATATTTCTAGTCTTGATTTTTACATTTTATTTTCAGTTTACTCAAATTATATCATATTAACAGCCATAAGAATGTGTAGATCCAGCAGAATGGTAGCATTTGCCAGAATGAACAGAGCAACCATCTTTTTATCTGTAGAATGAGTGAGGGAGAAAGGTAATCAATCATTGAAAGAACATGCTCCACTCTCTGGATAAATTCTGTTTCTAAATGAGGAATACTTGCGCTAGGAGCATGATGGAGAGGTTGGGCTCTTTAAGCAACATATCTGAGACTCCTCAGGCCCATATATGTCCAACCTCCCACCTGCTCAGTCATAATGTAGCTTCAAACCATACTTGAGAAAGAAGAGAATGAGGGAATGTCCTATTCCTGTCCTTCTAAGAGGCAGATGTAACTTTGTAAGCAAATGACAAAGATTACAAAAATACCTGTGTGAGACAATGGAGAATAAATTTCAGAAGGCCAGCAAACCCCTATAAACTCCTTCAGAGGGGAAGGAGGTGATGTCCTGTAATCTCACAAAGGTTTGGAAAGGCATCACAGTTTTCAGGAGACAAGGTGGATGCAATAAGTTGTGCTCCTTTCTTTCTTTTAAGACCTCATTACCCATGACGGCTTGTGGAGTTCAACAATCATTTTGGTTCTTTTTTGTGTATGTATGCTGGTACTGGGGCTTGAACTCAGTACTTGAGCACCGCCCCTGATATTTTTTTCTCAAAGCTATACTTTTACCCCTTGAGCCATAGATCCACTTCCAGCTTTTTGGTAGTTCACCAGAGAAAAGAGTGTCACAGACTTTCCTGCCTAGGCTGGCCTTGAACTAGAATCCTCAGATCTCAGACTCCTGAGTGTTAGGATTACAGATGTAAGCCACTGGTGCCTGGCTCCTGTTGGTTCTTGCTCAAATATGCTGCTTATAGCTAGAAGCCTTCCAAATGGATTCTCGTGGCATCACAGAGGTATACATGAACTATCGGGCACCACAGCTTTGGAATTACACCATATGTACTACTAATCTTCTCCTAATATTTCGTAAGTAACTGACTGAAGTTAAATTACTTGTCTGCTACATTTTCATATTGTACAAAATGATTATGCTGATAGTTCAAATCTGCCTTCATAAATAACAATTCTAAGAGAAGGTAAAAGTATGTTTTCACAAAAGGAAAGAAATGTACAATCACTTGATTTGTAAAAAAAATAGATTTCTTTGTTAAAATT